TATTTAGCATGTTGATTTGATTATATTTAGGCCCACTGAGTAATATATCTGAAGATGAAACTTAATTTGCAAAAGAAGTAGTATTGAAACTTTTTCACTTTGTGTGTCAAGTGCAATTGTTTGATTCTAAATAACACTTGCTTTTTTTTGACATTGTAGGAACCGAAATTCACACCTGTCGATTTCCGTTAAATAAGGAAAGTTAGGAAAACCCTAATTTTCCAGAGGAACCGGATCTCTGCGAAAGTCAATGACAAGTAACCAAGAACGCGATTAATATGAATCAATTGAAAGATATAAAAAGAAAAACGAGATTGAGAGCAAGAAGGATTCTTATTCCGAATTCGCGTAAGAACGGTTACAACGAGAGTTGCCTTAGCTGCGTGAGCGGTCGGCGAAATTCCTAGTTCTAGCAATCTAAGACTAAAACCCTAGTTGAGACGCAGCTCTATAACGAAAACGGAAAATTTCCTAAATGCTAAGTTTGGTGGTGAAAGCTCTGAAAACACGTCCCCCTCTTCTGCCCTACGCCTCTGGTTTATATACTCCTTGCCTTGACGGTTCGATCTTTCCATTTTGCCCGGATTTGAGTATTTCGGGAATCTTCCATTTTTCTCGATCCTTCCTTTTCTTCTACGGAAATCTTCTATTTATCTTCAAACTTGCCTTTTATCTTCGAACTTGACATTTATTTTCCTTCTGCGAATAAATCGTCAAAACTTTATCGAATCTTCCGGTTATATTCCGTTAAGATCGCGAGATGGGTTTTTATCGCGTTTTAGGTCCTTCCGGGCCGTTTTGCGATAAATCCGTTTTCCAACTTTTTACGGGATTGTTTCCTGATCTGACATCGATTTTAATAATTTCCTCGAGTTAATCGTAACGTTTTACGATTTACTCGACTTTTTATTAAAAATACGTTTTTTACGATTTACTCGACGTTTTTTATTAAAAACACGATTTTTATGATTTCAACGAGAAATCTCGAATAAATCGTATAGTTTAGGCAATGTTCGGTGTTTCGTTTAACCGTTGCTGTTTTATACGATTTCTTCGAGTTCTTTATCGAGAAAGCGAAGTTTTACGGTTTTTATCGTAAAACTCGAACGATAAGTCGGATCGAGATGGAATGGGAGATGTTTCGGCCGTGATTCAGAACGCGACCGTGTCGAAAGACGTAAGTTTCGAATCGGGAATGCGGGAGATCGAGGCACGGGATATCCGGGAAATCTCTAGTTCGCCGATGGGCGAACTAGTCGAGTGTCTCTTAGTTCGCCCATCGGCGAACTAAGCCAGTTTGGCTTAGTTCGCCCATGGGCGAACTAGTCGTGACTAGTTCGCGTTTTACGGCTGTTTCGGTTTTTTGCGGTTTCGTAAAACGATTCTTTGAGTTTTATAAAACGATTCTTCGAGTTTTATAAAACGATTCTCGAGTTTTATAAAACGATTCTTCGATTTTGTCGAGTACTAAAGCGTTTGCGTGAGCGTTGGCTGTACGAGTAGTCGCTGCTGGATTTGTTTTACCAGCGTCTATGCGAGTTGCGACCTTGTCTTTCATACATCCAGACATCGTTTTGGTCAAGCGTTTTGCAGCTATGAGTAAGAGTAATCCGACCCCCCCTCCTTCTAGCGCCAAACTGTGGGAACCGAAATTCACACCTGTCGATTTCGGTTAAATAAGGAAAGTTAGGAAACCCCTAATTTTCCAGAGGAACCGGATCTCTGCGAAAGCCAATGACAAGTAACCAAGAACGCGATTAATATGAATGAATTGAAAGATATAAAAAGAAAAACGAGATTGAGAGCAAGAAGGATTCTTATTCCGAATTCGCGTAAGAACGGTTACAACGAGAGTTGCCTTAGCTGCGTGAGCCGTCGGCGAAATTCCTAGTTCTAGCAATCTAAGACTAAAACCCTAGTTGAGACGCAGCTCGATAACGAAAACGGAAAATTGCCTAAACGCTAAGTTTGGTGGTGAAAGCTCTGAAAACTCGTCCCCCTCTTCTGCCCTACGCCTCTAGTTTATATACTCATTGGCTTGACGGTTCGATCTTTCCATTTTGCCCGGATTTGAGTATTTCGGGAATCTTCCATTTTTCTCGATCCTTCCTTTTCTTCTACGGAAATCTTCTATTTATCTTCAAACTTGCCTTTTATCTTCGAACTTGACATTTATTTTCCTTCTGCGAATAAATCGTCAAAACTTTATCGAATCTTCCGGTTAGATTCCGTTAAGATCGCGAGATGGGTTTTTATCGCGTTTTAGGTCCTTCCGGGCCGTTTTGCGATAAATCCGTTTTCCAACTTTTTACGGGATTGTTTCCTGATCTGACATCGATTTTAATAAATTCCTCGAGTTAATCGTAACGTTTTACGATTTACTCGACTTTTTATTAAAAATACGTTTTTTACGATTTACTCGACGTTTTTTATTAAAAACACGATTTTTATGATTTCAACGAGAAATCTCGAATAAATCGTATAGTTTAGGCAATGTTCGGTGTTTCGTTTAACCGTTGCCGTTTTATACGATTTCTTCGAGTTCTTTATCGAGAAAGCGAAGTTTTACGGTTTTTATCGTAAAACTCGAACGATAAGTCGGATCGAGATGGAACGAGAGATGTTTCGGCCGTGGTTCAGAACGCGACCGTGTCGAAAGACGTAAATTTAGAATCGGGAATGCGGGAGATCGAGGCGCGGGATATCCGGGAAATCTCTAGTTCGCCGATGGGCGAACTAGTCGAGATGGACTAGTCCGGCTTAGTTTGCTGATGGGCGAACTAGTCAAGTGCCTCTTAGTTCGCCCATGGGCGAACTAGTCGTGACTAGTTCGCGTTTTACGGCTGTTTCGGTTTTTTTGCGGTTTTGTAAAACGATTCTTTGAGTTTTATAAAACGATTCTTTGAGTTTTATAAAACGATTCTCGAGTTTTATAAAACGATTTTTCGAGTTATATAAAACGATTCTTCGAGTTTTATAAAACGATTCTTCGAGTTTTATAAAACGATTCTTCGAGTTTTATAAAACGATTCTCGAGTTTTATAAAACGATTCTTCGAGTTTTATAAAACGATTCTTCGAGTTTTATAAAACGATTCTTCTATTTTGATAAAACGATTCTCCGAGTTTTATAAAACGATTCTCGAGTTTTATAAAACGATTCTTCGAGTTTTATAAAACGATTCTCGAGTTTTATAAAACGATCCTCGAGTTTTATAAAACGATTCTCGAGTTTTATAAAATGATCCTCGGGTTTTATAAAACGATTCTCGAGTTTTATAAAATGATTCTCGAGTTTTATAAAACGATCCTCGAGTTTTATAAAACGATCCTTGACTTTTTTAATACGATTCTTCGGGTTTTATAAAACGATTCCTTTTATATTTTTGCGGGGAGTTTCGGCCGTTGATTCCGTCGTACCGATTTTGACCCCTACAGACATCAAATAGCATTTAGTTATATACATTATATATAATTGTATGTTATTGTACAATTGCAATATTTTGCCAATAAAGCCATTCAAAATTGTCGTACCTTTAAATTTGTGTTTGTTGATTATATTTTCAATTAATAACAACAAAAATAATTATCAACACACCATGGACTTATTGAGCCTCTTAACCCACCATAGGCCACAGACGTTGCAATATACATACGTTAAGATGACTTCAAAATAAGTGTCAGTGGCATTTGCTTAAATGTGTGTTTCACTTCACTCACCCAATCAAAAAGCCAGGGAGTCACAACTGCTATAATTATTCTATATACATGAACCTTCCAACACAGACTAAATATATCATATAAGCAATCCCATAAAACACAACTACCTTACCACTCATGCTTCATTGAGTCAAGCAATGCGGATGAGGAGACAGATATAACCAAAATGAAAATCTCCCCACACCTACCTTTTACAGACATCAGCTTAAGGTCCACTCTTCAAGAACTCCACACCTGAAGCAGAAAAAGAAGGTCGCAAACAAACCTGGAAGTGAGACACACAACTCTCTCAAGCCATCACCCCACAAAACTTTCTATGTTTTACAGTCTGTTATGTTATTTTATTTCTTAAAAAACTTTGCTACTTTTTCGTTATTGCATGCATGCTTTCGTACGCTGAATTCGAACAAAAAAATCAGCCGAGAAAGAATCCTTTTTTCAGACTCTCTTAAATTTTTGTCTTTTCTTAACTTCGACTTCCCTACATTACTAATATTATATGCCTTTTTTAATACTAAGATGTTCAAGTCAGCATAAACAATCTTATAAGATTACCAAATTCCACAACTTTGCAATTTCAATCATATTTATCCACCATTTCCATAATATATTCCACCTATGTTCAATGTATTAATAATTAAATCTATACCTTCACAGAAACTATCGAGTACTCTAAAACCTCTTAAACCATACTCTCAACTCTCTACAATACCCTACGACTCTATCTTTCCTATCATAACTATAGCATTACATTATAACCACAAACTACTGTCAACATCTCCGCGCTTACGCGGGGCTATTCCCCTAGTAATACTAGTATCTATAGTTTAAAAGTTTTTATCTCCCTTACATAATCTCACTGCACACAAAACGCGGGATATTACCTAGTTGTAAATTTATAGGTTACTCCCCATTTATAGAAAATATTTAGATATTAAACACAGTCTCCCTAGCAACTGTTTCTACCTATGTGATGAACTAAAGAAGTCTCTCAGTCATCAGGCAGAGCGGGATAGAGTTAATGTTACTAAACTATTGATCCTGGTAGACCAGCCTATTAAATTAAAAAAAGTATCTTAGCCACTGCATAAAAGGTTAAATAAGCCGGTTAACCCATCTAACACCTTTATGCACACGTGTAGAAAAAGACCGAGTCACCGGAAGTTCCAAATTTAGTAAGAAATCCATAAATAGGTAAGTTACCTAAGGTCAAGCACTAAGCTTAACCATAAAATCAGATCTAGTAAAATATTACGTCTCAGAAAATAAAGAAAGATAGATATGACTCAAGAATGCCCAGAGGAGAATCATGAATCTCCTGGAGTAGCCAAAACAAATCTAGGAAGCCCCTATTCAAAGAACAATAACAACAATAAAGAACAAGATCGTTTTCTTCCAATTGCTAATGTCGGAAGAATTATGAAAAAGGTTCTTCCCAGTAATGGTAAGATCTCAAAAGATGCCAAAGAAACCGTTCAAGTATGTGTATCAGAGTTCATCAGTTTTGTTACTGGTGAAGCTTCTGATAAGTGTCAAAGAGAGAAGAGGAAAACCATCAATGGAGATGACATCATTTGGGCAATTACAACTCTTGGATTTGAAGACTATGTGACTCCGTTAAAGGTCTATCTAAACAAATACCGAGAAACCGAAGGAGAAAAAGCCAGTAGCCCAAACCAAAGACAACAGCAACAAGCACAACATAATCATCATATCCAGTACCAAGAGCAAGACCATAACAACATTTCATGTACTAGTTACATCTCTCATCATCCTCCTTCTCCATTCTTTTCCGCTGATCATCAACCTATTCCAAATCTCCCTTTCTCACCTGAATTATTGCAGAAACAGTTCCCACAGCAGAATGATAACACTGATTCCATTGGACAGTGGTCAGTATGAGACCTAAGTGGTTTGTACCTTTTCGTTTATAAATCATATTGCTTGTTTCCCTTTGTGACTACATTTTGATGCTTATATATTGTTGTTATACACACACATATTAGATAAGTATATCTTGATGCTATCAGTACACTCTTGTTATATTATGTGTAACAGAAGACTTGATATTTAATAGGGTTAAGTTAAATGGAATCATACAAGAATAATATGTAGCAACTCAGATTACACAAGCTATTTTAAGTTATTGCTTTGACCCAAAAAAAAAAAGAAACACTAGTAAAAAACTGCCCACGTCTACATTTTATTTTGTAGCAATGGCAGAAATTTTGTAGCTATATACGAGCATAGCCACGAAAAGCTACGCAACTCATAACGCCGCTATATGAGCGTAGCAAGAATTCAGTGTGTCAGAATCTTAGAAAGCAAGGTGCTACAATTTGCTACTAAACTTTGTAGCATATTTACCTCTACGAAATTCTACGGCACGAGTGTAGCAAAAAAATAGCTAGGAAATGCTATGATTCCGTTCGTGGCATCATGATACAAAATTGCTACGATTCTAGGATATTTGCTACGCAATAGAGATAATAATTTTCGTCTCATATCTGACCTTGTTTGCTACAATAATTTCAGATATAATACGAAAATGATCATCTCTATTGCGTAGCAAATATTCTAGAACCATAGCAATTTTGTATCACGATGCCACGAACGGAATCATAGCATTTTCTTATCTCCCTCCGAAATATAATATCTAAAACAACTATCAAATAAAAAGCAGTTTTGACCATTAATTATTTTGAATCTGAAGGTTGTAAGTCATTTTTTTGTTAATCCTCTACCTTCTTTCTTATTGGACAATCTATCAAAATTAAGATTGTCATTTCTGGCTATTGATACATTTGATCCTATGCTCTCTCTCTCTCTCTCTATGTCTCTCTCTCTCTCTCTCTCTCTCTCGCAAGAGGCATTTCCCCTGGTAAGGGGATAATAAAATTTCGTATGGGCTCCCTAAATCCCATATGCCCCCATTTACTTAAAAAATGTGAATTGACGATTATAACCTTAGTGATTGATTTTTATTTTATTTTTATTTTTTAAAAACGAAATTGAATTTTAGTGGTTTGGTTTTGGAATGCTGATTTCGGTTGGAATTGTTTGAGAGAATGTTGGTCGATTTAACAGTTTGTGATTCAATTAAAATTAAAACAAATCTGAAATTAAAAGAAAAAAAAAAGCTTCCCAGTTCATTCATCGCTGAGCTCCATCCTCTCTCTTCACATTGAGTCATCAACGTCGATAGCTTCTCTGTTAACGTTGTTGGGCCACAAAGTTTCCACTGCCGAGCATTCCTTCCGTAAAGTTTCCACCGCCGAGCATTCCTTCCGTACAGGTCGGAATGCAGGTTAGTTCTTCTCTCATCCTCCCTCCTCGAGCTGCAATGGATAGTAAATTGGTTTTAGGGTTTATAATTCAATTTGATGAATTTGGGATGTGCACATTGGTGTTGAAACGGCATTGATTCAAGTCTCCATTGATTCTGGGTCGATTTGTATATGTGTTTGAATGTATGGGATTCAATTATGGAGATCTCAATCAATCGTACACGACTCCTCAATTGAAGTTATAAATAAAACTAGGTATAACAAGGCATAACTAATATAACTAGGTATTACTAGTATTACTAATAATTGTACAATAACTGGTATAACTTTAGAGAACTTGTTAATACTATAGGTTGACAAATCAGTGGAACTCAGAATAACTGGTATAATAATTGAACTTTATTCTATTGTTTTTGCAGGGTACAATGATGAAACACGTGATCCTACACTTCCAGTTCAAAGGTCGCATGTATAGTATAAAATTGAAGAAAACAATGGAGGATATAAGTTTGGTAATGGTAGAAGAAAGGTTGTATAACAAGATTGTGCTGGATGGATGTAAGGTAAAACTAGGATTGAGCTACATGTCGATGGTGGTTGGATGTCAGAAAGAGTTAACTATTTGTGATGATGAGGATTTGTTATTTTTACTTAATGTCCATTGAGAAAGATAACCGTAGATGTCTTTTGGTAGTGCAACAGACTAGTAGGTCAGATCAATTAGAGAAGTTGTCGAGAGTCGACATAAGTTCCCTTTGGTGTGAACTACAAAATCTAGGAGGGAAATGATGATAAAATCGGACCTAATGCAATAAGTCTTGATGTACAAGAAAGACAAGCAAACCAGCAGAAGAAGGTGTTAAAGGCAGAAAAGGATGATGATACAATAGCAGATGATTGTATGGAAACGGACACCACATCAGAGACGGACACCGCAGCTGAGGCAGACACCACAGCAGAGACAGACACCACAGCTGCGATGGATACTTGTGCGGTATAGATACTGATGTGGAAGATAAGTATGTTAAGCAGCCACCTGTAGCAAAATGTAGTCCAGTTATAGAGGAATGGGAAGATGGTTTGGGTCTTAGTAAGCTTCAGTAATTTACAAATAAAAAATAATAATTCAAGAGGTGCTGGATAGAGTCGCATTTGGTGAATGCTCTCGTTATGTTACCAAAAAGTTGGATTGTAGACGCTTGGTGGTAACATGTTGTGAAGGAAGATGTAAATATGGTTTGCAAACTGAAAAACTCCACGAACCGAAATATTTTCAGTTAGGAGGAATACGGGTGTGCATATATGCTCTCGAACCAGTCAAAGTAAAAGCAACAACAGCAAAAGGAAAGGCTCAGGAGAATTATTTCCATCTTTTTTGAATGAGGAATATCACGGACAAGTGAGAACTCTTGTTCCGAGAGATATCATAAGTCGTCTAAAGTTAAGACTTCGTGTAACAGTATCCTATTCCACAGCCTTTGTTGGTGTCAAAATCGGTCACGACGGAATCAATGGCTAAAAGTCTCCACAAAAGTAAAAATAAAAATATGTTTTATAAAACTCGAGAGATCGTTTTGTAAAACTTGAGAAATCGTTTTATAAAATAAGATTCCGTTTTATAAAACTCGAGAGATCGTTTTGTAAAACTCGAGAAATCATTTTATAAAAGAAGATTTCGTTTTATAAAACTCGAGAGATCATTTTATAAAACTCGAGAAAGCGTTTTATAAAACTCGAGAAAACGTTTTATCAAAGAAGTTTCCGTTTTATAAAACTCGAGAGATCGTTTTATAAAACTCGAGAAATCGTTTTATAAAACTCGAGAAATTGAGGAATTGTTTTATAAAACTCGAGAAGCCGTTTTATAAAACTCGAGAAATCGTATTATAAAACTCGAGAATTTTGTTTGTAAAACTCAAAGAATCGTTTTATAAAACACGAGAAGTCATTTTATAAAACTCGAGAAATCGTTTTATAAGACTCGAGAAATCGTTTTATAAAACTCGAGAAATCGTTTTATAAACTCGAGAAATTGTTTTATAAAACTCGAGACATCGTTTTATAGAACTCGAAGAATCGTTTTATAAAACACGAGAAATCGTTTTATAAAACTCGAAGAATGGGTTTTATAAAACTCGATAAATCGTTTTATAAAACTCGATAAATCGTTTTATAAAACTCAAGAAATCGTTTTATAAACCCAAAGAGATTTTCGAACAAAGGAAATCCGCGGAAAACTCGAAAAATCGTTATCTCGGAAAAACGAAACAAACGTCGATTACACGATCGTCCGTTATTAAGTACAAAAACCGCGAAAAACCAAAACCACCGTAAAATGCGAGCTAGTCCCGACACGACTAGCTCGCCGTTGGGCGAGCTAGAAGCTTCCCGGGTAGCTCGCCGAACGGCGAGCTGAACCAAGCGCCTAGCTCGCCCAAGAGGCACTGACTTTGCCCCAAGGGTTCTTATCGCCTAGCTCGCCATACGGCGACCTGCCAAGCTGAACTAGCTTGCCGTACGTCGAGCCGACAATCCCCAGCCTCGATCTCTCAGATCCTTGATTCAAGGCATACGTCCTTCGACACGATCGCATTTCGAATCACGGTCGAAATGTCTCCCGTTTCGTCTCGATCCGTCCTATTGTTCGAGTTTTACGATAAACACCGTAAAACCTTTTTTCTCGAAAAGAACTCGACGAAATCATATAAAACGGCAACGGTTAAACGAAACACCAAATATTGCCTTAACTATACGATTTTTTCGAGATTTTTCATAAAATCGTACAAAACGCGATTTTAATAAAACCTTGAGTAAATCGTAGAAAACGGCAACGATTAATCGAAACATCGAACATTGCCTAGATTTACGATTAACTCGAGAAACTTATCTAAAAACGGCATCGTATCAGGAAACGATCTCGTCTAAAGTCGTAAAACGGATTTATCGCAAAACGGCTCGGAAAGTCCTAAAACATGGTAAAAGCCACTCGCGACTTTATACGAAGTCCAACCCGAAGTTACGACATTGTTTTTGCGATTTACTCGCAGAAAGAAGATAAATGTCAAACTTGAAGATAAATGTCAAGTTTGAGGATAAATAGAAGATTTCCGCGGAAAAAAGGAAAGATCGAGATAAATGGAAGATTCCCGTTAAACTCGAATCTGGGCGAAATAGAAAGACTAAACCGCCTAGGAAGGGAGTATATAAGCAAGAGGCATGGGGTAGAAGCAGGGGGGCGAATTTCAGAGCTCTCATCTGAGACTTTTACAATTTTTCTAGACTTAGAATTTTCCGCACTTAGAAACTTAGGCTTTTCCTCGACAAGTTTGGTTTCTATGACTGGCGCTCAATTACTAGAAGAACTCACCCAGGCAGTTGGATCTCTGGTCCAGCTCTATCAACTGAACTACGTTCGACTTGATCCTCGAAAGGGGTACGTAGTATTTAATAGGGTTAAGTTAAATGGAACTAAGTTAAATGGAATCATACAAGAATAATATGTAGCAACTCAGATTACACAAGCTATTTTAAGTTATTGCTTTGACCCAAAAAAAAAAAGAAACACTAGTAAAAAACTGCCCACGTCTACATTTTATTTTGTAGCAATGGCAGAAA